AGCATTGTCTTCATGTCTTTGTGAATCTCAAAAAATTTGGTAACCAGATCTTGCGCAACACGATTTTTTGCCAAATTCAAGTTCAAAGAGTTTAATTATGTATGATATCCATAGTTTGCAAAAAATGAATAATGATGGATGAAATTTTGAAATGTAGTGTTGTATGCAAATTTTGTGATTGATAATAAATTCATCCAATTGTCTTAATAGTAGTTGATGAAACACCTAAATTTATGCTACAATACTTGATTCACTTGCTCGATTTGTTCATACTTCTAAGGATGCTATGTCGATGGTAGATTAATATTCACTTGTAAGATCTTGAAAAAGTATTGCTAAAATTTGGATGTGAATTGCCTAATTTGATTAAAAATGATATGGTCAAAAAATCCATGATATTTGTACACATTTTTTAAGAAAACTCATGACGTTTTTTTACATGTGGTAGTCTTGTTGCAAGACATGTAGTGTGTTATCTTTCTCAAACAGTATATCACAACAAAATTGAATTAAAATATGTGGACTTTGAAAGATTCATAAAGTTTGATGTCTATAAAAATTCTAGTATCTGTAACGGTTGGATTAACTTGTATGGTTGATGATAACAAATCTTGGATCTAGAGCAAATATCACATGTCGGGACAAAATTCTTCACGACGTTCTACAATTAGAGCCATCCAATGTCTTTGTATATCAGTTTCATAGTTTTTTTTAACTAAATTGTAGCACCAATGAAGAGTCGTTTCAAGATTATAGCACTCGACGTAGACATGAATCTTAAAAAAAAACAAACTAATTCCTTGTTGTATAACAATTAATCTTGAAATTGGATTTTTGAATCAGCATCATGCAATCAAAAAACACTTAGAAACACTTGTCAATTTCACTATCCATGATGTGGTTGGCTGCTGTTGTTTTTCAATTTGATTTGCTTGTATCTTGGCTAAAAAACGCTTCAAACATATCAAAATTTCATCACCTTTGGTCCGTCATGTTTCAAATACTAATTGTTTAAACTGTGATCCTTGACACTAGATTAAATACACAAGTATTTCATACATTGTCATTTTATTTCTTCTTTGATTAACTTAATAAATTTCAAAGTGTAGATTTGCATGAACTCTGAGATCGAAGTGCTTGAAGATGTTTGACGAGTTAAGCGATAAAGTCTACTTGACATAATTCACAAAGTAATCGTAGCTTTCATCGTTGTTTGAACTTCCAATTTTTTCAGTTGATTGTTTGAGTAATGACTTTTGACAGAGTAATTTGTTTGAACAAATTCAACCACAAGATTTTAATATCGTCGCCAAATCTTCATCGAAACATGATGATGGAAGCCGTATGATTCCAACCAATATCACATGCAAGTTGTTAACACTTTGCAACATATGCTCAAGTTGAACACAATTGTTATTGAAATGATCAAATTTTTAATTTGCTATAAGTGCTCAATTTTGAACTATTTGTTATATTCTTCAAGAATTGATCAAAGTATGCCAGGATTGAACATGATGGAAGATGTGTATATGGATGTTGGAAGCATCATCCACTTTGTAAATGTACTTTCGACAAAATGTTGCGGAAGTCAAATCACACAAGACTTAAAATAACACTCAAACTAGAATTAAAGACACACGAGACAAAAAAGTAACACTCAAAGGAAGAAAGCTGGAAGTAGTATCATTCAAAGCAAGGGAACAAGACGTAATATTGATATTTGAAGATCACAAAGAATTGATGTTGTCAAAAACTAGAAATGAGGACACTCAAAGCAAGAAAGCTAGAAGTAGTAACACTCAAAGCAAAAAAACAAGTCGGAGTATGAATATTGGAAGTATATCGGAAATTCAAGTACAATTGGTGTTGTCGAGTGAAGGAAAATGTTCCATTACTCTCTATTTCTAGCTCTAAATCGCTACCAAGAAACTCTAAAGTCTGATAGTTGACGACGCTTTCCAGTTGCAAAAAGTTCACACCACCTCTCAATTGGGCCAAGTTCGCGCCGCCTGATGAAAAAGTCCTCACCTCCTCCATGTTTGGGCAAAGTCTGCAACATCCTTGACAAGACCTCCCTCTTTGGGAAAAGCCTTCAGAGTTCGCCCCGGAAGTGACAAGAGTTGTATGTTATGGCGATCTTGATGCATATCTTCTAAAGTTGTTGGAAATGAAGTAACAAACATCAAAACATGCTGATCTTGCTTATGAACATTCAATGAAGTTATGGCGTAGAAGATTTAGACATCTGTTCACTTATGAGGAGGCCAATGTAGATTAGGCACATGCTTAAATTGCCTAATTTCAGGTAAATTAGACACAAATCCCAAATAAAATTGGGCATCATCATTAAAAAAGGCTGAAAACGCAAGGATAGAAATATTTTATTTCTCAATCGTGCGTCAATGTGATGCAGTTTGCATTAGAGAAACCACTCCGGAGAAGATTATTCCATGACATGTTGAATATTTACTTTTGAGATTAAGTCTCCAGTTCTTTGTTATTAGTTCTAAATGACCTGCAACACGAAAGACGAATTTAAGACTTGGGGGTAGGTTGTATGATCCAAAAAGTCGATATTGTTTAGGTTTATAAGGTCGCCCATATGCAGTAGCAACAAGCGCAGACAGTAATTTCAAGTGTGAAAGTACTACTATCATAATAGGAGACTGAAGATGTTGTGGGACAAGTGTTCGGAGAGCACCAGCCATAGCACAGTTTCACTCGAAATGCCACCGGGAATGTACTCAAGCAATACAGACGCGATAAAGCACCGAGAGTACGGTCCTTTAAAACCTTCATCCATAGGCACGACAAGGTGTCAGGTACACCGATCTCTATGCACGATAACATAGTGAGTTATCAAAACGTGAATTCCTCTGTACATTCCGCAGTAGGCATAACATCCTTTGTAAATCAGATTCCACCGTTGATATTTAGTGTCTACCAACTATGTACATCTCACTCTACAACCAATTTGGGCTAGGAAGAATAAGCTCCTATAAAGAGGGATCTCCGGTCCAATCTCTCTCATGCGGTACAATCATTAGGCATTCACTTTTAAAATGCCTAATCTACAGAGGCCTGGCCATGAGCTATCAGGTTGGTCGGTGTGCTCTTTCCATACGAGATATATATATATTTACATATATATATAAAGTTATGGGCTCAGACAGAAATGTGAGGGAGTGTGGGAGTATATCATTCTATGTGAATGGAATATAATTTTATGTTATGTATACGTTATTATAGGGAGAGTACTATATAGAAAAACCAGAAGAGATGAATACAGTTAGGTGATATATCTAGGTATGCTCTCCTTTGGACTAGATATTTGGGGTATCTTAGCAGTACCTTATTCGAATCATGTTGGTATTCGAGTCTAGGACCATGTTACACTCTTGGCTAGAACAACCCCGACCGTATGCTCTCCGGGCTGACGGCATGCGTACACCGTTCGAGTGTCACCGTCGCCGTCAACCAGTGGGTTTCACCGTCACCAGTGGTTTCGCTTTTGGCGTCTCGCATTTCTTGTGACGCATTCTCGGACTGGCGATGGCGGATCACGCGAGATCTCGGGGTTTCGATTTGGCGAGTGATTTTTTGCATTCAAGATTATGCCTAGCGATTGTCAGGGCATTTGCATTTATAGGGGCCAGGAGTTTTCCTGTCGTCGCGGCTTTGAGAGAAGGGGCGGGCTTCGAATTCTGCTTAGTCTCGTTACAGCTGCCAGGGCTTTCTAAAACCTCCAATTAACCCAAAAACTGTAGGCGAAGGGAATGGGAAAGATAAGGAAATCCTCCAGATCCTTGATCTTTATTCTTCATCGAGCATTAGCAGTGATTAGATCTAGTTCTCCCAAACCCCGGTACGTAAATTCGTGTCAGAACATGAAGAAGATCATGCTTCGAAACAGATCTTTTCTGGACATGAAGGTGGGTCTAGGCCATTCTTGACTAGCTTCCTCGCTCACGACGGTGGTTGTAATACTGCAGTGCGCGCATCAGGCTGATGCGCCAACCGCCATGGCCATATATGTACCGCATCGCAGTGCGCTGACATCGCGGTTTGCTTCTTCTCAAGTCTCTACTCCCAATTTTTCGATGCCTGAAACTATGATCCTCAGCTGTGAGAAACAGAGCCGAACCCCACCTTCGACAAGGAATCGACCGTCTCCCTTGCAATTGCAGCCCTTCGTCATGATCCAGCACCCTGTCCTCCACTGGCATAGATTTACTTCTTCAGAATTGAAGCATAGTCAATTCATGGGAAAAGTTCGTTCAATTTTGTAAATGGCTGCACAGTCTCGAGATCCATAATCTGCTTGAATGTGCTTCAAAGTTCCCCGTAAAGTAATAAGCTAGTTTAAGTTTTCCATGTATTCCAGCAGAAGGATGCAGCGACAGGTGCAGCAGCATCGTTTTAATGGTTGCTGCTTGCTGCCTCGTTTAACTTTGAATTTGCAAACAGTCGTACTCGGGTGGAGAAAAATTTCGGATTCAGAAATTATAAATGATTTGAGGGGAGGTGGGGTGAGCGCCAGGCAAGGCGAGGGCAGCGACGGGCAATTGCACTCTACCATGGATTCTTCTCGCCTTCTGGTGTGCCTGAGCCCGAGCTCGTTACAGGGGCCGGATAATCGATGGAATGCTGCGCCTGTGCGATTGATGGTGATCCCGCTGACTGACTGGAGGGTAGTTTGAATGGGGGTAATGTGGTGGTCGATGACACGTGTCTCGCATCTACTGACCATGTGTCGAATTTGAATAGTAGAGGGTGCGAGCTCGACGGGTGACTTTTTGACGCGACGGTGACAAAGGGGAGACCGTCACGACGGTGACCGTATGCCGTCAGTCCACAGTCATACGGTCGGGGTTGTTCTAGCCTGCAGTCATGTTACTACCTTCCTCCCATCCATGCGCGGCTTGATGGGGTCGGGCCATAAACTATGCCATAAACTCTCACCCCACTCCTATATAACCCTGCGTTCCTGGAGGTCCGATGCTCGCCTAATTTCCGTTTGCAAGCGGGGAGGTACAGTCCACGGCGTGCAGTCTGAGTCATGGCGGGCCGGAATGGCGAGAATGACAGCGATCAGCAGAAGTCGACCGATCAGCAGAATTCGACCGACGCCAAGTACCGAGGCAGGGGCTCTGTCACAGTTGCAGTGGTCGACTATTACGTGAAAGCTGTCGCAAAAGTTGTCACCGGCTGTCATCGCTGACAGCTTGAGCAGCTAGTAATCCCTCGCGTGTGTCGACGAAATGCTAGTTCGGGGAATCGGTTAGGAGGGAAGCTCGAGGACTCGGCCGGATGGAGAGGCACCGGTGGCATAACCAATACTTCTTGTACATTGTGTAATATAGCCTGTGTGTTGCTGTGGATCCAGCAGCGACGCGTCCGAGGATCGACTGCTCCTTCGAATCTCGGACTTGTAGGCATGTGTCAATCTGCTTATAACGTCGCCGAGAGTTTCTGATGTCCCACACCTGGGGACTGGGTTATGGGAGCTGGCGGCGGGAGGGCAGACGAGGGGCGACGCAGTGTAGTTCCTGCGCAACAAGCGATGGGAGCGTATCACATAAAGCCTGGAGGACTTCTACGGAAATGAGGTAGCATATGTGTTTGGCAGTTAGAAGAGGATAGAAGTACATGACGCCTGGCGCTGCACAGAGATTTTGATGTGTTTGTACATTAATACTATGTAAATTTCGTTATAAAGGCCCATCACAGTGTCTATGAAATGACAGTGTGGATTGCAAGTACAAATCATTTCGATGTCTCCACCTCTGCCTTTTGTTATGTTGTTCTCAGCTCGTATGGAGACTGAAACTGTCCGTCCTGATCGTCTCGCTATGCTTCGACGATTTCCAGTGTGGTGATTCTTGTCGTGTTTTGCCACGCTATTCTGCTGCTACGCTTTGTCATCTGGACTTCCTGAGCGTGGTCAGTTTGCAGTCTTGTGAGCTCGAGAGCTCTCGTATCTTGGTAAGTCTTGTTAAGTCTTCGTGATGATTCCTTGTGCACATTTATTTACTTGCGAGGAGGCAACACTGGGTCAGAAAGTAGACTCCTACGAAGCTGGAAGTACGCGTTTTTGGATTCTTCGAATCGAGTTGTTACGTCTTCATCTCCTCACGCTGATTTCATCTCACATTCCTCTGTTATTTTCGTTGTAACCAATGAGTGACATCGTGAATGCAGTCAGTCAGTAACATCATCGATCACTCTGTTGTTCGTCTGCAATTTGCAATTCGTATTGTCCTATTGTTTGGTCCCTCCACCGCTAGTCTTCTCAGACAATTGCAATTGTCGCTCTCTGTTCGATCACAACGACGGATAACTCTGCCACCTACTCCTGACTTCCCCTTATACAGAAAGAAGGGGGACCTTTGGAATATTAAATCGTATGAGAAATTGGTCCTCTTACAAACTGTCGTAAGAAAATTGGGCTGTGGTGATTTGTGCTCAGTGATAGCTCAATTCCTACCTATGTTCGAAAGTCCTCCTTTGTCTTTCTTCGATTCAACTACAGACATTCTTTAAGCATCACTAGTACCCTGGCCGGTCTTCAATTTGGAATGCTGTGCTTGTGTGCTGCCGGTTGGCTGGGAGCGATTTCTGCCCCATCGTCAATAACGGAAACTCTAGCATGGTCAGCGACCTCTCGGCTCGTCAAGGCTAAGGCTCTGGTCTTGTGGGCTCGAGCGATCGGTTATATCAAATGTTAGTAAGTGTGCCAGTCCGTAGGTGAATTTCTCCGGAAACCGAGCGAGGGAAGCATAGCAGGGTTCAAGGGCTGTATCTCTTGTCATACCTATGAGTTATTTGTCCTCTGAGACTGATCGAGAGTCCCTATGTAACTTAAAAGCAAGCCACAAACTTCACTAAATAATGGGCATTGAAATTCCAAACGATCCCCATGCTAAGTCTATGAATCGACTGCTGGTTTGAAGCAATGACGCCGTGCTGGAAAAAAATGGTGGGTGGGGGGGGGGGGGGGGGGGGGGGGGGGGAGGATGGGGACACTTGTAATGCGGAGGCTACGAGTCAAGCTGATAAGCTCTTCTACCGTCATTGTCGTCCCGATTTACTAAGTTCGCGAACAAAAGGAATATCTGGACAGCTATAGGTACACAGAGAACGGCAGTCCAAAGGCTGGCCGTGACAATGTGGTTCCCTCAGCTGCTTCAATGTCGTGCCCTGGTAGCGACCCCTTAGAACACCGCGAGTGACGGCAGCTGCTAGCTTCACGTCACGGCCTCAGGCCCTTCACATGGCCGACATTTCGAGCCTTCAAGTTTGCGGGATCGTGTAGAATGGAGCTACAGAAAAGGCTATGTAGAAGGCCTTTCAAAAGGCCTTTCCTGGCCGGGCATAGACTTCCAACACGCCACCTACATCGAGTTTGATTCCGGCGCTCTACTGACGTAGATCAGTCATCCATCTCTATGCAACATTTTCTGCATGTTTTCTTGATCTCAAATTGTGGAACCAGTTAACATTTTTTGTCAAATTGCGGCTTCAGACAACAGAGTTGCATTCTCATTTCCAAATTTAAGATAGATCGCGAAGAGTGATTTCGCAATTAAGGAATGGTTGTGGATGTACAAACCAAATCGGAACTAGTGGCCGTGATGAAGTGCATATCTACAGCTCGGTTTACTCGTTCGATCTCTCAATCGAAGGAGTATAACTCTTGCACGATACCTCGGTGGAGAACAAACCTTGGATCCGACTCGGATCATACACATTCGGGTGAGGACACGAATCTGACAGGAGCCAGAACCGACGTACACTCCTCGCAAAGCGGAGCAGCAACAAACGATCAGACAGGGCTGCGAATGAGCGTGCGTGCCAGATCAAGGGACTCACGAATTCGCCTCCTCACTCTTCGAGATGGGTTCGCTCTTGTACTTAGCGCTGACGAAGCATGTCACGTTCCAGGTAGACACGAGCACAAGCTGGTGGTGTAAGAATGGCTGACCAAAGTGTCATGATCAGAGTGACATGAAAGTCAAGGAGTGAAATCTGGCCCTTTAATTACTCCTGCACTGTAGGATGCTCCAGCTTACCAGCCGTCTGATGATTAGAGCTCGATTCCCCAAGATTATGGCCCCTCCACTCGAATGCAGCCGGCGAGGGTGAAGCTGTGCTGCCCAATTTGGCAAATCGAGCTTTTCAAGACAACTCGCGATATATTTTAATTCCATTCTCACCTGATGTAACTACCAAGTGAGCGGATAACGGCGCTGGCAACTTCTGTCATTTAGCACTTCAGCTGCATCTTACACTAAAGCAATCTCGGACCGCCAGGGCGTCCTAGACAATCCTAAACCCGCCCCAGTTCTCGCCTTGGCGCACCAGTATGCTACTTATGATGGAGCATTCAAAGAGCGTTTCATGATGCGCCCCGTGGAATGAGTATCAACTCTTTATGTTCTTTTCACTTCTGGCGTAACAGAAAGAATGGAAGGGAAGGCAAGTCGCTGCTGGGAATTGGAAATACTTCGGTGGTGATATGGTGGATTTTGCTCCGTCCAAATAACTTGTCCCCACATTATCAATCTATCACGCTGGCTTGGATGCGATCCAGGCTTTTTCACCCATATCACTCGAGCACTTTTGTACAGTCGGTCCGACCGACCGCACCCGAGTCCAGCGGGCTGCATGCAAAATGCTAATCTATCCACAGAGCCTCCCATTCAAAAGAGAAATGCACACCACGCCGCGACAACTGCTTCGTTGGTGCCCGGAGTAGGTAAAATTTCGACTGCGCCTCCATTCGGTCTCACACTTGGTCCTCAAAAACAGAACCCAGCCCTGTACCAATGTACTTTTCCTCTGATCCCTGGCCCTCCACCAACGATGTGGATATTTCCTCGGCGGCCGTCTTGTCGACTGGATATTGAATGGGTGGATTTTGGTATATTTGTTTACATTGCTCCTTCTGGATAGACATGGGTCGCTCACTTTCTCAGACCCTCTTGCTTCCAAATCTTTTCACACCCACGTGCCCAAGTATGTTGGCCCTGGCCACCGTTCATTACAGACGCTTGCGTTATCATGCGTTTAGCGACGATGTATGACCGTCGTCATCTCCAATCTTTGATCTACATTCTTTCCTACCGTTCCGTTTAAGCCCAAAAGGAAAGTTGTGATTACCTATAGGAAACTGTAAGGTCTTGGCATGACCTGATGGATGTTGATCGAGGTTGATTGTTGAACCAGATCGAGTTGCATGAAGGATAAGCACAGTCTTCCTTTACCGACCTTCTGTAGCATGTATATATTAAGGTCACAGTTGGGCAATTCTTCAGTAAATCTTGAAACTTGATATAAGATTATTGACACGAGCTCTATCTACATATTTCCAAAAACTTGTGAACAGTTATCAGCAGTTTCCAAGGAGTTCAGGGAGCTTTTGAGGGGAGATAAGAGGGAGCAAAGCTCGAGAAACCTGAACAACTTCTCACAAGGAAATAATGGCCGAAACTCAAGAGCCCAGAAACGAGAAGAAACAACTGTGGCGCATTGTACGTATATACATGTACACACTATTTCGAAGGTTTATCTATAATTTCGGCATCCGTTCCCCACTACATTTGGCAATGAGACCAAGCATGCCTTGTGCTTGATTCTGCAACTCCTCTCCAGGCTCTTTGCTCTCTATCATCTTGTCGACTCTTCAGGGGCAGAAGAATAAGAAGAGGCTACAGAAGTATTTGCACGTTGTGATAAAGCTAAGTCCCTCCCTATTCTCGTAACCAAGTAGAGTCATACTGAAAGGATTTCCTAGAAACATTGATTTTTGAGCGTGCACTTGAAATCACAGCTGGACATGACAGGTAAGGGAAAGGCTTCCGGTTCACGTCCGGTCGTACCCACCTTAAATAATTATGTATTCATCATGCAGACGCACGAGTGAGCATTGCCTTACAGTGAGCATCGCAAGAATGATCGACAAGATATGCGCAGTCCAGTCCTCTGACTTTCATACAAATCTGCCTTTTGTCAGGAGTCAAGATAAGTCTTGATATTGGAGACATAACTTATTTTAATGAGAATGATTAGCCTTTTTTTAATGCTTTCTCCAACAAGGCAGGGATTGTTTATAGGTTGCTTGGCTATTGCTCTGATCTTCTGTCTACGGCTTTTCCCATCACCCTTCTACTTCTCATCGCCACGCTTTTGTACACATACACAACCGATTTCAGGTAATAACCTCAGTGATATTTTCACGCTGTGCATACGTGCCCAAGCTGTGTCGGCGTCACACCGACTACGCAGATCGGAGGTACGGTGGCGTGCTGACCTTTCTGACTTCCTGAGGAGACCCGTATATCATGGGGATCCCGGTCAATCCTCAGTTCAGCTGCAATCTACTCTAGAGATCTCTGAATTGCGCCATCTGGCACCATCGTAGAGCTACCCCACCACCACAGTCTAATCGGCGCGTGCTCTAAAGAATATTAAGCCTTCGATAAATCTGTGTAACCCAGATGAAATTCGACTGCTCCACCGTACACTAGACAACACCAGAGTATGACTATACTGCGCACCTCCAACGAAGCATTTGCAGACTGTAAATGCTTCGTCTGGCGAACCTGGTGAGTTGAAATCCGAGGGACCGAACGAATGGCGCCTCCTGCCTAGAAAACAAGCAAAACAAAGACGTCTGTTGACATCGAAGTCGTTTGTCCTCGGTGCCTATGACACGTTGTAACAGATCACCGGTAGAATGAATGATTAACGGCCTATAACTGCGACAAAACATCGAGGCACGTGGTTCACAAAACACACATGCTGCGGTTGAATGTGGGCATTTTTGGGCACCTATTTATGAGTCGAGGCAGTCGAGGTTTTCGGGATGGGTAAAGGATGAACAAAAGTGTGCAAATTGTTTACCCTGTGGAAACTTATCTGTCGGTGGGAGCTCGAGAGCGGTGGACAGGGTACCGTGTAGATGAAGTCACCTGCGACCGATCGTCGATCGTTGTTCTCGACTGAGTTCGGGAAGACTGGACTGCGCGGGTGCATAGTTCGTCCACGCTTTTGGAAGCGTCTACTGTAGTAATTTTTCTGTACTCCTCCTTCAGTCAGTTTGAAAAGAAGTCCGAAGGTTTTCTTTACAGACAGATGCCGAAGGCTTTCTTCATACAAATTTCCGACTGGGCTCTTCAAGACACTTGAAACTATCATACACAATTCCAGCTTGTACGGTTGTACACAAGGTTACGAAATATTGCTTATTTATCACCTGAAAAATTTTACTGCTGGCTGTAGCGGTCATATTTAGCGTGGAGTCGTACTGTTGAATGTTATCACCGTTCACCTAAAATTATTGTGGAACACGTATATTTATGTTAATGAATTATATATGATTATGTAAACATCTAACTAAATGTAATAACATATATTAAAATACACTCTCGCATCTTTACTACACATACTGAGATATCTTCATTATTAGAACATCTGTTATATGCTTTTGAATGTGTGCTTTAATGTTAAGGTCCTTCATTTTAAAATTTTATTTCTATCAAGGTTTCAAAAGATAGTGAATATACTTCTTTCTACATGTTTAGAAGAATCTTCACGGTACAAATTGATGTCCATAAGAAATTACAAGGATTTACGACAATTTCAAAATGACATCAGTCATTTATACATAACAATATTATTTTGCAGGTCTTACTTATTGAACCGGTCTTCATGATTACGGTCCGGCCAACCCGCTTCTCGTTCTCATTCTCGCCCTCTATAAGTTGGATTCTGGGGACGGAGGAACTCGTCACAATCCGCCATTCGAATCTCGTCAGTGAGTTGCTCTCGTCCGGTGTTGAGCTAGCGCACGGGGAGGAACTCGTCACAATCCGCCATTCGGATCTCGTCCGGGGTTGAGCTAGCGCACGGGGATCTCTTCATGGCGATGTGAAGAGGCTGTGGAAGTTGCATTGATTCAGTGAGAATTCTGCATCTGTCAGTGACTAGACCGCGTCGAACTTCCGCACTCGCAGCCATGACGGATCGTTCCAACGTTCTCAAACAAATCCTGGGGATAAATCCTGGCAAGGATAACAATAAAGGGGGAACCCAAAGTGACGGCCAGAGACGGAAAACAGTGCAAGAGGAGGCCCGAGTTGAGGACAGTCGAACCCACTGCTCGATGTCGTGGGACGGATAGCTCCGTGCACTGCATCAAATTGGAGGCTCACACTGAGTGGATACTGTCCGAGGGGCTTGACTTCACGTAACCCTCGCTGTATATTACTGACTGTGTAGCGGAGTTGGAGCTCGTTTGATCACTTATGGGAGCATGAGATATACGATACACCAACGGAGCAGCATCAAGCCTTCTTCGAGGTTTGATGGACTCGCTATTTGGCACCCGAAAATTCGCGTATCGGCTTGCCAGTTCAGTCGGGGTGTCTGTGCGCACGGTCGCACTTACAAGTTTTTGTAACAAGCTGGAGCATGTGGTCTAACTGAAGCAATCGAAGTTTCATCATCGCGCCCGTAGCAGCTTCTTCAATAACGCAACCCGGAGAATCGATATGTTATCGATCGCTGACGAATTCACATGTCAAAATGTAAATATGTTGATTGATGGATAGGCAGTGACCACTTTGCCACTAAAAAGATACTGCAATAAAGTATATACACTATCTCAAAGTTGTCCTCTCTCGTGTTCGCATCAATTGGCGATTGGCCACTTTCTCTCATTTGCTTGCTCAGTTCTAGGATAGAGGTCCCGTTCACGTCCAGCATATTCGTCGTTCAGTCTCTGAAGCAATTGTCACGAGTTGAGTTATGCAATTGCTTGGTCTATCCATGGAATATATGAGCGCAGTCGAATCCTGTTTCTGTGGAGATGTCCTAACAGCTACTGTCGAGTTCCTTCATCGGAAGGCCGAAGGTGAGAGTCCCCATCAACTGTACCTGCCGAACTAGTGATGAGACGCTTCACTCGGTATCTGTCAGTTCTGTCTAACAGCAAATTCTACCTGAGACCGTCAGCTTTGAAGGCGGAGATGGTTTCGGCGTAGTGTTTGACTTTTGTTCCTAGTTCGCAATTGACTCTGTCTAGCAGCACAGAATATGTCAGACCATCACTGGGGGGCAGTGGGTCTTGATGTGCTACACATCAAGACACATTCGCTTCCTCTTCACAATTCTCTTTCATTGTTGCTCAATTTTGTATGTTAGACAGCGCTGTGGTACAGGGGGTTCGTTGGACATGGGTTTTCCGGGGCTAATATTTCACAACTACGTAGAACGGAAAACACCCACCTCTGAAATCAGTGGTGTGCCATTCTTCAGATATCGGAGGCTGGAGACTATTCTAGATATTCTAGTTAGTGAGTGATTCAGGTCCCTTTTGCACTTTCACGATTTGTCCAAAGTTCCTGTTGTGATCAGTCCGGCTGTTAAATCAGGACTAGTCCTCTGTTTGCCTTTGTAAGCTCCTTCACTTGTATACACTCGGTTTCCCTTTCAGTCTCTGTGTCGTGACGATCATCCTGCCCAGATATGCAAAGCTCTGCTTTGCTTGGAACCAGGGTGCAGATCTGGTCTTGGCAACACTAGTCCCGTTTCAAGACAAATTGACGACAGGAGTGCAGGACTTCAATCTTTCGGAAGGCAGGAGAACTATCGTTTTCTAGCATCTAGAGAATTGATCGTCCTGCACCCGACTAAAATCTGTGGTGTCGATACTGCTGATAACATGCCGCCTAACGCGTAGGAGCCGTCGTCTTATCGACAGTATCCTCCTGTGTCCGCGGAATTTGCAGATAACCATGTACGTGAACGCGTCGCACTTGGAGTAGTTGGGATTTCACCCAATTTTAGCATGCTTCCTGTTTTCCTGGCTTCGGACAGATTAGTTCTGTGACTGTTTTGGCGTATGGGGTCCCATCAATCGAGTTTCTTCGTATACAGTCCAGGTGCATCTCGCAGGGCTACTTCGTCGTATCTGATTTTGGGGACGCTAGCGTGCTTCTAGTGACTCGATGTGATCGTGCCAGGTTTGTTTCTTTGTATGCTCTCTCGTTCATCGGATCATTGTTCAGTCTGTAGTCATTCTGTTCTGACAGGCAGACAATCCCCTGCATTGGCCTGCGGTGCTTGCAACGATGTCCCTAAGGCAAGGGTGTTGTCCGGAAGCACTCATTCCACAACTAGATGGCCGGAGCAGTGACGTTGTCAAGCTTCGACAGCGTGTGTTATTTGTCCATGTAGCGCTGCTTTCTTTGCTCCTTTTTTTTCAGGGCTGTCGAGTATAATTGTAATTGAGAGAGTATATTTTCATCTCAAGCATTGCATAGGACAGGAGCTTTCTTGTTGAAGCGCTTTGTAATTTATACCTCGTGCGCATGAAAGAAAATGATGCCACCGAGATCGATGTTCATCATGACGGATCGATTTCCCGGTCGGGAGAGTGCCATCCCGGCCATTTTCGTGTGCATCGTTCGGACATTCTTGAGCAAACTTCTGGGCGTGTTTCCAGACTCAAGATGAGTCGATAACTACCGCCAGATGCAACAGTTTTGTTCGTGAATTGATGTAAGTTCAATTCTTAATGTGGTTAAAATGAAACTTTCATTGAAAGATCGGCTCTTTGTATATTTTGTGTAAAGTTACATGTATCTACTATAATTATCCATAGATTGGAATTAACTATAAATAAAGTGTTTCATGAGAACGATATGAAAGATAGTGATATTTGATGTACATTGAATATTTAAAATAAAAAAGACTGATGTGTAAATTCATGAAGAGAATAGATTCATTTTTATTAAATATGAATATATTTTGAAAATTATTTTATGAAAGTGAATCTATTCTCTTCATGAATCTATACATATGAATTTTTGTTTTAAATAATCAATATTTATGTAACATCAAGATCACGTGGAACATTGTATTGACTATAAATACAATCAGTGAGGTAACGACTTACAAAGTAATCTCGTGAAAATGTTTAGGGTATAAAAAGTATTGGGTCCGACAAGCAAACTGCTTTCCAAGGTGTACTCATGCAATCAAACTTGGTAATAGTGAAGATGTCCGCGTTCTGTCCGAAGAGACTATGCATGCAATCAAACTCGGTAGTAGTGAAGATATATTCGTTATGTCCGAAGAGACTATGCTCCAAAAAAATGTTTTGTGAAAGTGAATTTATTCTCTTCGTGAATAAACACATGGTTACTTTACTTTGGGGTGATGTACTTATAGTAAATAAATCTAAAAATATAATATTTTAATCCAAAAATATTATGTATCATTAGTAATTGAATCTATAAATGTAATAATTGACTGCAGAAATGTGTACTACTAGTAGTTGAATCTGGAAATGTAATATATGGAACACATTGTCCGATGGACTTGTTTTGATACTTGTTTGTGATATAATGCATTTGTAGCATATTGATTTATAATTTCACAAACAATTACATTTGATCGTAATTTCAAACATTAAACATTAAAAATATTATATATTTACTATATTCATCAGATTGTAAATTGAATTTCAAACCCCATTCTATTTTTCCATTCGTGCATTATTTTAGTTTTAATCAGTCGGGAATTCGATATTTAACACCTATATCTTGTTTCAAAAGTTATTAGATTTTCAACAAGTCATCTTTGTTTTTAAGTGTTTTGAAACAAATGTGACGTGTTCCGCAAAGATACCATCAAGTTTTTTGTAAATCAAATATATTTCCCAATTTTTTGCAGCTGAAATGCAAAATAAACTAAAGTCAAATTTGGTAAGAATGTTGATGATTTAGAAGATGAAAAGCAGTCCTGCAGGTCTGAGAAACTGGACCTTTTTCTAGGCTCGACTTCAACAATCTACGGCTTTTGGTAAGCATGAGCAGACACATGAGTCAACGAACGTGACCTTCATTCCTCTCATAGGAATGTGCTGAGCCCGGTGTTTTCTGCTGTGTCTGCCTGGGACCTTGTATGGTACGGTGAATATTTCCAAGTTTGACCTGCCTCTCATTAACGTAGGATGGGACAACGGGGTAGAAACTGTGTGGCACTTCAGAATATTTGAGAAAGCATCGTATATCCGAAGATGTCGCTTCTCCTTCCCGAAAAGGCAGGCACAAAATCTGATCATCAAACGATGATCAGAATTCACCCGTCAGTTCAACAGATTCCCCCGGCGCAAAGAGTAAATCAAGGATGGCAAAATAATCAAACCGAAGTAAGATCTCGGCAATAAAAATGCGAAATATTCATACGCAAAAATAATCCTGTCGTACTGCTCGTCATTGCCGAATGCGAGGTAGCTCCTCCTACTCTTGAACGTCCAGCGATGGACGATGGATGACGGCTTACGATGGAGTCCTCATATCGTGCATGCAGTGTATGGCGGCTGCCAAGGGCGAAAGCCTCGTAAGGCCCGAACCTTTTGAAAGCGAGAAATGGTACTGTAACGCGGAGAGTGTATGTTCGTCAATGTGGAGAGGGCAAGGTGTTTCATGGAAATACCTTTCCCGCTGACACAGGAATGTTCGATGTTCAGTCGATTGGCGTTTTCCTTTATCTTCATGAACTTAACAAAGTGCTGAATACTGAGATGTTTTTCAAGTAGGGTTGATCTCGCAAGGTTATCGATTCTGCTGTCTCCACTGTGGGTTAAAAATCGATGCTGAAATCACTAATAATAAGTTTAAAATATTCCAAACATATGCGAATTTGATGGTCTTAGATTTAATTTAAATTCAATCTTTTGATACTGCCACTCTGTTTTAAGTATCAAGTATCCATGTATTAACTGAAATGTAAATATTCCACAAGAAAATACCAAGGAACTAACATACTTCAAATAACGACATGAAAAAAAATTTCATGTCATACAATAAAAACTTATATCTGTTCTTTTAAAGTCAAGCCCTTAGATGGCTTTAAGTTTTGTAGATGTAAAGCATCTACTCATTTCTTACTACCAGAGAAGATCTGATTTTACATTATATTTTCTCCTACTAATAGAGAATAGGTAAAAAAATTAATTCAATCCGAAATGTGTTCTTTTAATATGTGAGTGATTTAGAAAGCTATAAGCGATGTACACTTATATGACTTGTAAGAATGATGGTAAATACGAATGTTTCTTTTGATGAAAGAGCTTGAGGCTGTTATAGGAATCACTCATTGAAAGCATGACATGTGAGTCACCCTCTAGCAATATGATAAGAAGCAGTAGATAGGAAACAAATTAGGTAGTATAACCCTGAGGTTACCTAGCCAAGATTTGATGGTTTTAATCGAAAAACCTAAAACCGTTTATAAAGAAATACTGCAGCAATAAACAGTAGGTAATTCAGAGTGAACATTGTTATTATGACATGAAACCAGAGCAAGGAATGAGGGTTCTAGCGTAATGAAAATAGTGAGCTCTGCTCCTATTCTTTCAGGTGAGGTTCACTTTTTGCATTGTGCATAGTACTTCATCATGGATGGAGATAGCAAGATGATGTTTGTAGGAGACGGCAACAAGTTGGTGGGGGAGTTCAATTATCAGGTTTGGCAACAGAAGATGAGGTCCATGTTTAAATAGTTTGACCTATGGAAAGTGACGATAAGCAAGATCAAGATGGTGAGGAGCTCACTGGTTACAATCAATGACATACTTGTGAACAAGATCAAGCTGATGAAAT